AACACCATACACAAAAATAAACTCAAAATGGATTAGAGACCTAAATGTAAGACCAGACACTATAAAACTCTGTGAGGAAAACATAGGAAGAACACTCTTGGACATAAATCACAGCAAGATCTTTTTTGATCCACCTCCTAGAATAATGGAAATAAAAACAAAAATAAACAAATGGGCCCTAATGAAACTGAAAAGCTTTTGCACTGCAAAGGAAACTACAAACAAGACAAAAACACAACCCTCAGAATGGGAGAAAATATTTGCAAACAAATCAACGGACAAAGGATTAATCTCCAAAATATATAACACAGCTCATGCAGCTCAATATTAAAACAACAAACAATCCAATTAAAAAATGGGCAGAAGACCTAAATAGACATTTCTCCAAAGAAGACATACAAATGGCCAAGAAGCACATGAAAAGCTTCTCAACATCACTAATTATTAGAGCAATGCAAATCAAAACTACAATGAGGTATCACCTCACACCAGTCAGAATGGCCATCATCAGAAAATCTACAAACAACAAATGCTGGAGAGGGCGTGGAAGAAAGGGAACCCTCTTGCACTGTTGGTGGGAATGTAAACTGATACATCCACTATGGAGAACAGTATGGAGGTTCCTTAAAAAACTAAAAACAGAATTACCATATGACCCAGCAATCCCACTACTGGGCATATACCCAGAGAAACCATAATTCAAAAAGACACATACACCCCAGTGTTCACTGTAGCACTATTTACAATAGCCAGGTCATGAGAGCAACCTAAATGCCCATCGACAGATGAATGGATAAAGATGATGTGGTATATATTTTATATATATATATATATATATATATATATATATACACACACACATACATACATACATACAATGGAATGTTACTCAGCGATCAAAAAGAATGAAATCTTGCCATTTGTGACAACATGGATGGACCTAGAGGGTATTACTATAACTGAAATAAGTCAGACAGAGAAAGACAAGTACTGTATAACTTCACTTATATGTGGAATCTAAAAAACAAAACAAATGAACAAGCATAACAAAACAGAAACAGAGTCACAGATTCAGAGAACAAACAGGTGGTTGCCAGAGGTGAGGGGATGGAGAGATAAATGAAATAGGTGAGGGAGATTAAGAGGTATAAACTTCCCATTATAAAGTAAACGAGTCACAGGGATGAAATGTACAGCATACAGAATATAGTCAATAGTACATTTGACCTTTGAACAACACGAGTTTGACCTGCCCAGGTCTACTCATACATAGATCTGTTTCAATGGTAAATACTATACAGTATTATATGATCTGCAGTTGCTTCAGTATGCAGATGTGGAATCGAGAATACGGATGAACTGGAAAATGGAGGAACCACATATATGGAAGGCTGACTTTAAGTTATACATGGATTTTCGACCGCAGGAGGGTCAATGTCCCTAACCCCCAATTGTTCAAGGGTCAACTGTGAAAACTCTGTATAAGTGACACATGATAAGTAGACTTATCATGGTGATCATTTTGTAATGCTGAGAAGTATCAAATCAGTATGTGTGCACCTGGAACTGACATAATCCTGTAGGTCAATTACACCTCAAAAAAACATTTAGAAAATGTGCTGGAGAAAGGAAATGATAAATGACAATAACAGAGACAGGACTAGCTACAGTAATAGGACCGTAACTTTTTCCAGAAACCCTCTTATATTAAGTGCTTGCTGAAATTGTGGCCAGCCATAACTTTAAAGGAATGCTGTGATAAACTGGGATTAATGCAGGACACAAGTGGATCTGAGTGGTGCAAGGAGTGCATTGTGTTGACCATCTCTTGTGCACCATTTTTATCTCCCTAATCATACTTCTTACTGCAGCTACTTCTGAGGCAAGGAGTTCTACACAAACTAACCAACTTTTCAGAGCACACAGACAATACTGCACCTTGAGCCTGTGTGGTATATCTCTTAATTTATGCCCAAGTGAATCTAAAAGATATCAGTGTATGTTTTCCAGAGAGTGGGATGGTTAACCACTGGAGCCATTTTAGTCAGCAGGAATTGAGAACCAGTAAGAAAAATGATTTCCCCTTTCTATCCCAGGCAGGCAGCTTTGGAATGCATTTCATAAGGGTCTCCAGAGGGTTTCAAGGAATGGAACACCAGGCAATTTTAGTAGTGGCCAACTTGATAACTCCCTTCCTGTTTCATTCCTCTCTTCCTCATTCCTGCCCTTGGAATCATTTTAAAATAAACTACTTGCTCGCAGGCCTTTGTCTCAGACTCTACTATCAGGGCAATCCCATTTAAGGTAGAAGACTCTGCACCCAAAGGTCATCTAGGGTCCTTTCAACCTGATGCTCTCTCAACCCTAGAGTTTCCGTTTGCTTCTCTGTATAGTCAAAGCTGCCTCACCAGCACCAAGCCCATATTTCATTCCAAAGATAGGAAAAGAGATAGTGGAAGATAATAAGCACATTGCTTTAATGGAAATGATCTGGAAGTTGCACATATCACCCTTGTTTACTTCTCATTACCAAGAACTTAGTCTCATAGCCACTCCTACTGCAAAGGATCCAGGACTCTCTAGCTAGGCAAACATGTGCCCAGATAAAACTTTGCTGATCCCATTCCTAGATGGAGAGGGGAAAGAGACAGTGGGGTGAAATAAGCAGTCTCTGACAAGAAAACAAATAGAAGATGTAGTAATGCATATTCATAATATTCTAAAAATATTCCCTTCACCACCAAGTAAAAATCCCTGGGTATCGGGCATATAAATAAGCCATACCGCCCATGCCTGACACTAATTCTGCCATTTTTCTCAGCCAGTACACATTATATTTAGTTGCCACCTTTTTTTCAGTTCCCTTGGATTCTCAACACCCATTTTTTCACCTGTTCATTCCTTAGAGAACTTTATTTTTTATGGACTTTTTATATTAAGAATAGTAACTGGGCTTCCCTGGTGGCGCAGTGCTTGAGAGTCTGCCTGCCGATGCAGGGGACATGGGTTCGTGCCCCGGTCCGGGAAGATCCCACATGCCGCGGAGCGGCTGGGCCCGTGAGCCATGGCCGCTGAGCCTGCGCGTCCGGAGCCTGTGCTCCGCAACGGGAGAGGCCACAACAGTAAGAGGCCCGCGTACTGCAAAAAAACAAAAACAAAAAAAAGAATAGTAACTATTTGTTTCAAACATTTTTAGCGTTTGTATTTTAATTTTGATTCTGGCTTTTTCTTATTTATTTTTGGGTTCTTATATATAACAGTGCCTACTGGAGACGTATTTATTTTGTTCCATTAATTTATCTTGATTATTGCCAGTGTGTCTCATTAGTGTAACTTTATAAACCATTTAATACCTAGTATATTTCCCATGATATTCAATTTTTTTATCTTCTCACCTGTTTGTTCTTCCAGATAGATACAAGAATTATTTTTGCCAAATGCAAAAGTAAATTCCACTAAATTTATTGGAGCAGCGTTGGCTCAATAAAGTAGTATGTGAACACTGATCTATTACCGTTTTCTCATACAGAAACCTGGCTAGTAGTCTATTTATGCAAGTTTTATTTTATGAATTTCAGTGATGTTTAAACGTTTCTACCTTTCACTCTGCATGTCTCAAGATTTTTTTTCCTAGGTATTTTAAACTATTTTGCAGTCTTTTATTTTGTAACTTGTATATATTAGAATCTAGGAAAACCATTGTTTTTTACATCTTAATCTTATGGCAAATACCTCACTGAAGTCTCTTATTAGTCTTATTTTTCTACTACTTTTCTTTGGGTTTGCAAAAAAGGCAATCATTTTGAATGCTAGTAATGATCATTTTGCCTCCACTTCTCCAATAGTTATGTCAATTATTTCTGTGATGTTTCAGTGAGTTTATTAACACTACCAAAGCAGAGCTAAGTCATAGTGGTGACAGCAGCTGTTGTAATATACAATTAAATTTGTTATGATCTTATTTGCATTATATTTATGTAGTTCTTTTGCATCTGTCGTGAGATTATCCTGTTATATTTTTGTATTTTTTGCAGGTGTTAGTGCTAACCTGAAGGAATGCATTAGGAAGCCTTTTCCTTTTTTTCCCCTTTTCTTCTAGTCTTTAAGAGTTTATAACAGCATTGGAACTGGCTCATCCTCAGATATTTAAAATAACTCAATGCTTTGATAAGAGTGATTATTTAGTTACATCTTAAAGTACATCTTGGTTATTGATCAATTTCTATGTTTTCTGAATCATTTTTGGTAATGTTTTCTCCAGAAAATCAGTGATTACATCAAGATTACTTTTAGCATAGAATCCCCACATAATTTTTACCTTATTTTTAAAAACTAAGGTTTAAACCAAATTCCAAAGAATAAAAGCACAGAAAAAGAAAAAAAAATCACTGAAAAAATATCACCACTCAGATAACATTGCAATGGACATTTTTGCATATATTTCTCTCAGTCTTTCTGGTGAGAGTCCTTTATGCAATTCTTTCCATTAAAAAATACATTCATTTTAAGTTTTTTTTTTTGCGGTACGCGGGCCTCTCACTGTTGTGGCCTCTCCCGTTGCGGAGCACAGGCTCCGGACGTGCAGGCTCAGTGGCCATGGCTCACGGGCCCAGCCGCTCCGCGGCATGTGGGATCTTCCCGGACCAGGGCACGAACCCATGTCCCCTGCATCGGCAGGCGGACTCTCAACCACTGCGCCACCAGGGAAGCCCCGTAAGTTTTTTTATTTGAACAGAAATGTGGTTATTCTACAAAGTTTGGTGAAAGTATAAACTCAGATATTAAATCCCCTCAAATCTTTCTGCTCAGCAATAAGTAATATTTTGCTGGTATTTATATTTTGTTGAGTCTAATTATCATAACGTACAAGATGTTCTGAAAGGCAGTATAGCAGTTAAGAAACTGGTTCTAAAACAAGACTGCCTAGATTTAAATTCTGGCTCTTCCACTTATCAGCCCTGTGAACTGGCTGAGCTGCATCTCTCCGTTTCCTCATCTGTAAAATGGGAACAGTGATTGTAGCAGCTATCTCAGTGTTGCTGTTGAGATTAAACAAATAACGAGGGTCTGACACTGCGTCAATAATTGTCAGATAACTATTAACTTTAAGTAAAATTAACATAAGGATATTCACAAGTCCTGTATGAAGGATGAAGGGCTGACACTCCTGTACCTCCTGAGATGCACAGGAACCATTTTACCTCTCTCCTGAGCCATAATGAGTGGCAAGAAGTCTGGTGAGTCTTTCTCAGGCCTGTCACCGGAGTGAAGTGCCAGGGCCAGCTGTCAAACTCCCAGTATAACTGGGATGTCTGTTACTTACCTGTGCCCAACCCTCACAAGACGGGAATGAGCCATGATGATGTTTCTGCACTCTTTGCTCTCCTCCAACCCCAGCTGTCCACATTCCAGGGAACTTTTTACGGCCTTGAAAGACAAGAAGCTTTTCTTTGACATCATTATGCAATCTTTTAAACTCACTATTCTGTGGGCATGGGTTCATGAGATTAAAAAGTCTTTGGGAGACCTTCATCTAACTCTCAGATTAAAATGGCATCAAGATAGACTGGACACCATGCAAATTCCAGGCACTCTGAAGTTAAGATGACTAGGAAATACGAAATGTTGTTATGACTATGGCCCAATAAATAGGCAGTTAATTCAGGTGGCAGTAAGAATCCAGTAGAAAATAATTTTGGTCTTCATCATGTTTCAAAATGCACCGTTGTTTTAAACACTAGTCTTGCCTCTGGGTTTTCCATATGAATGTAAAAGACCCAACTGAAACTAAAAATGTGTTCTGTTTACCATTATAGTCCCCCAAATACTTAAAATTTTATAAGGATAGGTTAATAATTACCAGGCAAAATCCTTAACCATGTGCATATCATTGATGATTGATAAGTGGATAAACAGATAAAGAGAGGGAGGGGGGAGGCAGGATAAAAGAACAGAAGGCAGGTAAGGGGAAGGAGAGAGATTAGAAAACAAAGAGACACAGAAAGGAAGGAAGAAAAAGAATGCAGGACTATAACTGTGATGATTCCTGGAGCAAACAAAAAGTCCTAAAGATTTAGGAAGAGTAAAATTCTGCTGTCATTAAGTACATTTTCTGAAGATAACTTTATTCATTTTATCCTGTATGGTCATCTCAGCGATCAAATTTGCTAGGCAATTGCTTAACTCCACTTCAGTTTACCTTTGCAAACAAAGTCACTGGGTCAACATAAAAGACTCAAACAATTTCAAAAGTGGAACATTTTGAAAGCATTCTGTTTGCGAATACAAATATACCTTATGGTTAACTATTTAGTAGAGATTGATTTCCTCAAACTTGGCTCAATTATTTGATGGGTTTAAGACAGAACAGTGTCAGCATTACTTAGACTATTAAAACATGGTGAAAGTGTAAAAATCAATCATTAATCTCAAAATTTTCTTCAGCATCTTAGTAGCATGTGTTCTGTGTTTAGCTAGCATTGTGCTAAAAGAAAGTGGGCAAAGATCATGGCTAATTCATTCTCAGCTACTTAAAATAATGGCATTGTGTAACATGCTTATTTAATATCTGCACTGTAACCTCACTGAATTATCGAGTTATAACTTTACCATTTCCCAAGTAGAGTTTTTTAGGCTCATTAGTGCTTCCTTATTCTAGATCCTATCATTATCCAGAACCAGATATGTGTAAGAAACCTATCATTTCAAGTTGAATCACATGACTGTATAAATGTCTTGCTGTCCCTTAATTTTTTTAATACAGCAAATGAATACAAAGTAATAACCCTATACAAAAAATGAAAATTACTTTTGGATGGCATCCTTTTGGACAGACCTATGATTAAAATATTACAGCAGGCTTTAAACATCAGCAGGTTGAATAAGTTTTTAAAATGAATAACATGTGTTTTGGGTCTTTGATATTTTAATATTCCACCAGCACTTTAAGTAGGCAAAGCCCTTCTGTAGCAGTGAGATGTCTCATATTCAGTATAAGCAAGAACACCAGGAATTTATTCTCTGACAAGTAGCATCAATCAACTATGACTGAATGGTTTCACTTGGTACTAAACTGCACGCTCCATTTTTGGCTGGAAAAAAATTGTAAAATATTAGATTCCTCACATTAAGCAAGGATCAACATACCATGACTAAATCTATAAAAGACAAACACAAAACTTGATTACTGTATTTATGGATGCTAAATCTGATTGAGTTAAAATGTGCCCCTCTAATTACCTGTATGTTATAATGTGTGCCAAATGCACACAGTTTTAGTCATTTCCCTTCTGAACTCCAGGAGCACCTATTTTCGGAGGCTTTTATTGTTAGTTACCACTGCATTTTACTAATTCCAATTCACACACGGGATTTATCTCCAAATCACCTACAATCTCCTTAAGCACACATAGCCTTTAGTATAACGTTATGCATACATATTTTCACAAATATTTGCCAGTTTATTAAGTAGGTTACTCCCCAAGGACTACAACGATCTGGTGGAGAACAGCAATGGCCAAAAAGTAAAACAAAAAACGCAGCAGTCCTGAGGTCATCGACTCAGTTCTCATTCCCTAAGTTACACAAAAGGAAAACTGGTTGGGAGTTACTTCTGCAAGATCTGTTCTGAACCCTTTTTTATCACACTCTGAGACCCACTAGTAAAGCTCCCACAACCCACCAGATCATTATTCCAACCCACTCAGCCAACCCTGTCACCTCTGCAAACACATACAGATGTGCGCAGATAGCTTTTTCTTTATATCCAGTGCCCCTCATCTCCTGCTGTTCAGTGTCTTTTTCTATCCTTTCCATCAAAGTAAGCATAATCTTCAGCCTTGACCTCTGGACAAAATTTGGCATCAGATGAGAAATTTAAGAATGGTGTGAAAATCTACTGCAGTGCATCAGAGAATACACTAATTGTAAAATAATATTTGGGATGGGAGTGATCTTCAATTCATTCCACAGACATTTACTGAATGCTATTTTGCAGTCATTTTAGAGAATACAAAGTAAGATCTGTTTGTTGTATTTGAGGAGCTGAGGCATCACAGAAGCCTCATTGCCGGGCCAAGGGCACCAAGGTAGGGGGATAGGACTTAACTTTGAGCATGGCCAAACCACCACCCGCCTACGTTGCCCATTGCTACAAATAACCAAGGCTTGCAGATTATGAAACTAACTACATGAATTAAAAGACAAACTACTTAAAACTATTTTCTGTGCTAATTTCCATAATTGCTTACTTTTGTTCCCTTTCTTATCTTTTACTTTGTGTGTTTTCTTGGCTTTTCCTAGTAATTTCAAAGTTTAGTGTTTTATTCTGCTAGTGGTTGCTTTGAAACAAAAATGTTTAAACCATTTCTGTATCCTAATTAACAAAGCGAGGCAAAGACTGCTTATTTACCTTCTATGTGCCTCCAAAGGCTCATTTTCCAGTTTTTGCTGTTTGAGGTTTTAGACCCTGACAGTCTCTTTACATTCTGTATCTTCACTTCTTAAAGCAATTCTTCAGTGTTCACGTTTTGTTAGCTAACATGACAAATATTTCATTTATTTAATGGCTTCCCCATTCTAGAGGTCTTTCTTTAAATAACCTGTTAGTTGACTGATGTAGTTCTGTAACTTTCCTAGAATGAGTTAAAATAAAACTATCAGCCCTTGCCATTTTACTCAGACAAGAATGACAACTGGGGGCTTCCCTGGTGGCACAGTGGTTAAGAATCTGCCTGCCAATGCAGGGAACACGGGTTCGAGCCCTGGTCCGGGAAGATCCCACATGCTGCAGAGCAACTAAGCCTGCGCGCCTACAGCCCGTGCTCTGCAACAAGAGAAGCCACCGCAATGAGAAGCCTGCGCGCTGCAACGCAGAGTAGCCCCCGTTCGCCGCAGCTAGAGAAAGCCCGCACAAAGACCCAACACAGCCAAAAATAAATAAAATACATTTTTAAAAAACATTATTCTTAAAAAAAAATGACAGTTGGGTGGTTACTGAATTTGAGTAATCATTCTCTCTTTAGACCTCTTTAAGCGGCATCTAAATACTGCAGAGGAAAATCCTGAAGATAATCTTACTTTACTTTTTCTAGATTGTTACAAAAAATATTTTCCTTAATTCATTAATTTTACTTAAGCTCAGTCTGAAAAAAGTCCTAATTAGTTTATGTAGGCCTGAGACTCTAACAGTGTCCAAGCATGACATAGTTCCATGAGAAGAGGGAAGGCATGGTAGGCAGGATAATGGTCCCCCCAGATATCTGCATCCTAATCCCTGGAGCCTGCACACAGTTCACAGTAAAGGGGAATCAAGGCTGCCTATCAGCTAACCTTAAAATAAGATTATTTTGGAGCATCTGTGTAATCACAAGGGTCCTTAAAAGTGGAAAAGGGAGGCACAAGAGCTCAGAGTAATGAGGTGTGCAGACTCCGCTCACCATCCTTGGACCTGAAGACAGAGAAAGGGACAGTGAACTGAACAGTCTCTAGAAGCAGGGGAGGCAAAGGATCCTCCCTGAGAGCTTCCAGAAACACTGCTCTGCAACATTTCAACTCTAACCCAGTAAGACCTGTGTCAAGACTCCTGACCTACAGAACTGCAAGATAATACATCTGTCTTGTAAATGAAACGTATGGCAGAGATGCAGACCTGAGCTGAGTAGGGTAATCAGGGAAGGCCTCTTTGACCAAGTGACATTTAAGCCGAGACGGAGAAGCAGCTGAAATCAGCCAAGTGCATCACAGGCCAGTTAAAGAGTGTTTGCCTCTTACATGCTCAAGTTGTCACCTTACCTGAAAATCCTCTCCCTTCCCTCCTCCCACCCTTCTCCTTACTGAGCTAGCCAAAACGTATTCCATTCCCCTAGCCCGCAGGTGGGTACCTGTTGTTTTATATCTTTCTGCCACCCTGCCTACCACCCTGCCCAGGTGTCCCGTACTTTCGCAAGGGAAGCCTACTCTGCCGCTGGTGATGAAGATGGTGTATAAGGGTCAGGCCTGAACAGGCTTAGTCCCCAGCTTAGCTCAGGTGCGTTTTGAGACCTAAACTTGTCCAAGCTGAGCGAAGCTGAAACTCCATTTCGAAGGCAGGGTGAATGGAGGCCTCTTTTTGGCTGAATGAGAACCAGGATAGCTAAGACAGTTTATATATCTCACTGGGCAAGAGACACAAGAAAGTAACTTGCCTAAGCTATTAATGGGGAAAAAGCTGGTACTTAAACCAGGAAGTTTCCCTCTTAAAACATCACACTAGAAAACTCCTTAAGTACTTCTTTAAATTTCTCAACCAAGTAGCCAAGTACCACATGGTGACATACAACAGCAGTCTTCCAATTAGAGTTTACATATTCAGATGAACTTACGTGAAGGCAGGCGTAGTTTTGAGGAAATCAACTGCCATCCACGTTTCTGTATGTTGTTTCCCAAAACTAATCTGAGAAGGTACCCGGTGTTTCCCTGTCTCAACTGCCCTTGCCTTACATCAGACTATGTCTCGAGCATACTGGTTTTACCAGTATATTGCTTTGTCTCAGGGTGCCACAGACAACTCCTTTTTTAATCAAGGCACCCCACACCAACATAGGACTTCTTGTATCCCTGAAACCTGCTAGTAGTAGAGTCAAAAGTGAGCACACCATACAGTATGTCAGCGCCATAATATTCTAAGAATGCCAAGTTGTTTAACAACCAAAATGCAGATTTAGAAACTAGAGGGCAATTCAGAACAATGACAAGAAATACTACGTGAAACAGAGCCCAACTTCATCCAGCCAGAACCTGCCAGAACCTGTGCGTTCTCCTTCCTCTTCCTCGGTGGTTTGGCGAGCGCTCTGCTCCACCCTGGTAGTCTGAAGGTCAGTTGTCCATTTTGTGAGGTTTAAGAGTGAAGTCCAAGATCTACTTCCAACGTTATCACCATTACACTGCCACACAAATGGAACATAGAAGGCAAGATCTTTATTTTCTTGACCCTTCACTTAGAAGAAAGGTTTTCACTTTTTGCCAGATTACTAAATACTGTGAATCTTTTACTTGCCATCTCCTTTAACACTACTCTAGTCCTCCCCCCTTCAACTAGGTTATTGACAGACCGCCAGTAACACACTTTACCCTTTTAAGTCCCAAATGTACTAGCAGACCAACGTCTTTTATGTTTGCCATGAGCGTCCACTGAGCCTAACAGCCACATTCACCCATGCGAACTTCCACTCATTTATGCAGAACTTACCAGGTACCCTCTATGTGCTAGGTACCATTCTATGTGTTGAACATGCATCAGTGAGCAAACGGCTTCAAATCTTTGACCTCACGGAGGAGCATCCTAGAGGGGAGGAAGGCATGTTTTTTTTAAAATGAAGATTCCAATTCTGGTTTGGGGAAGGGGCTCAGATCCTGCATTTCTAACAAGATCCCTAATGATGCCACCAGCAGTCTATTAAGAAAAACGACCCAGGGAAAGGGGACAGAGAACATAGCAGAGCAAGTTTGACAACTGTGCAGACTGGAAGCAAATAGGATTACATCAGTTATATGGGGAGAAATTTTTCCAAGGTTAAGACCAAGTAAAGTCGATGAAGAAAAAGTCCGCCTGGAGAGTAGAAGGTGGGGACGAGGGGAGGCAGAATAAACCAGTGTGTAATGACAATTATGGGGTGAGCTGGAGGGTCAAGCAAGTTTCCCATTTAAAAAGTAGTCCATTATATTATGACTAACAATACGTACAGTCAAGAGCAGAATCAGGCATCAGAAATGTTCACAAGGCAGGAACTATACCCTATTTAAACTCAAGAATTCTAAAAATCAAAGATGTGAGAAAGTAAAAGTTTGATCGTTTTCTGGAGGAAAAGAGGGCTACAAAATCACCTGCCTTTACAACGACCCTGTAAGAACAGGGTGACAGCCAATCCTCAAGGAAATCCAGTCCAGCACAAAGGCTATTACACACCTGGTGCATTAGATGTTGTTACCAAAACAAAAAGTATCATTGGAGAAAGACACTACTACTTCAAGTTGGGAGAGGATAAGCCTGTTGATTCACAGGCCAATTTAAGGTTGGTGCTAGCTGAAAGGCGTCATGGCAAGCAAAGTAGTCAGCTATGAAACTAAAAGAACTGAAGTATATGAAACATAAAATGGTGAAAATGGCCGTCTTCTAGTCTTATGTAGTCTCCTACCTCCATCCAAATTCCAAGGTGCTGCTTTGACATTCTGCATTCCTCTGGCTCATCATTTTGGGCAATTTAGGGAAATGGTTACATTCTTAAACACATTTATCAAGATCAACAGCTTTCTCATGTTTGTCCTCCTAGCAACCAGCCCTACTTAATCCCCAAAGATTCTATCTAACGCATCTGGACTAAAATTGCAGAACTTTATATTTTGAAAAATATCTTTGGGTAATTATAATGCCCAACTGGGGTTATGAACCTTGTCCTAGAAATGTATGATCACTCTAGAATTCCAGCAGTGATTTTCACTGAACTTGATGCCTAGCCTAAGGCCACCTAGTGGCTTGAGGGGTTCACATACTTGACCAAATGCTGATAATTTTTATCTACCCTTGCAAGGTTCTGAAGTCCCAGCTCCCTCAATCTGTTGAAGAGTGGTACAGATCATTGTATCTGAATTAAATACAGAAGAATGATTCCTTTAAAGTTTTCCAATGGAATTTCAGTCTACAGAAGTTGAAGTCAGCATTAACAATTTCATAGTACATATACTTTTTATAAAGCAGACATGTAAAATGAGTACATGCTCCATTTTCTCTTCTACTAAAGTGTACACACGTGTTAATCATGCAGTTAAATGGGGATACTACAGTGGACTTTAATTTGGTGTCGTTTTGCTGCCAACTTCAGGTTTTTGTCCTTTACCTCCATACCATGTTAAATACTTACCTCATTAAGGACAAAACCTGCATGTATGCTGGCATTTACTTATTTTTAAAGTACTCAAAATTGGAATTGTTACTTTACTGGCCATAAGTACAATCTAGTATCTTATTTTTAAAATATTTACTATGATTGTTAACACTCAAAATCGTTGAGGGTTTTGGAGGTTACTTTTAAATATACTACAGATCAATTAAGAAACACTCAATCCTACTATCAATAAATACTGTGGTATTTACTAAAAGCAGTTGTTTTAATACCTTTCACACTTTGGTTTTCTCTTGGTTTAAACTTCAATGCATCAATAGACAAGAAAACTTTACGAACGTATGCACCAATATCCCAGTAAGGACAAAATGCAGATGCTCCGCTTAACTAGATTAATAAAACCTCAACTGGCTGGTTTTTAAGTGCCTATGATCTATAATTTAAGATAAACAATTTGTAACTAGAGTCCTTATCCGATTTTAAGTTAATGTAACAGGAACTTAAGTCAATCTCCATATTAAATCCAGTTCAAGAGTGATTTGAGTATTTGTCAGATTCAAGACAGCAGGTCAAGAATAATATTTTTTTTATAGATTGACATGGGTTTAAATTCAGAGCCCATTTACCAGTTTTATATCCTTGCAAATAAAAGTTTGCTAATCTCATTCCCTTATCTATAAAATTAGGATACAAATACAGATGCCACAGATATCAAAGTTAGGTAAGATAATACAGGTAAACCACTTGGGTATCTGTTCCTACTTCCCCAATTACCTCAATTAATAAGCAAAGGTGTTTGGATCTT